TAAAATTATCCCTCCTGTCATAAATGAGAGCTTCAAAACTGTCTGAGTGTTGACCAACAGATTATTAACTACTTGAGAGAAAGTGAGAAAACACCCACATGTTCAGTAATAAAGAGAAAGTATCTCAGAAACTCTATCTTAGTTGGGACTTTTTAGAAATACTCTATGGTATAATATCAAGTGATTGTGCAAACCAAGAGACTCAGGATACTCTATTCATGGGTTATCTTACCTAAAATTACCTGTAAGAGCACCCTGGCAGCCAAGAAGCTCAAGTCTGAAGGAATTACATTGAGTCATTTACTCTTTGACCTGCAGTCATTTATTCAATCAGATAACTTTGCTTTTTTGAAGGAGAAGGTTAGAACAAGCCAGTTGAATGACTATATATTAATACATCTTATTAAATAAATGGATAGACTTTAAGCTTCATGCATGTCCTCCAGGTAAAAGGAGAGTTTGTCTCTTCATGAAAGACAGAAAATATCCCCAGTTCGTAGCAGAGAGCAGGTGTCTAATTGTCACCTGAATGAACTAGTCACCTAGAACAAAACAGTCACCAATGAGAACAGCCCCCGAAAGAAAATGCATAGTTCAAACTACTAGAGAGATATGAAAAGCAACTCATTAACTCAATGGAGATGACAGAAGAACTCTTTCTTTTATTTGGGAGTGAGTTGGTGATTGGCACATGCCAGGTACCACCTAGGAAACTTCCTCAGGTTACACACAGGTGAAAATCAGAGCAACCACATACCTTGGCAGGCTTGGCCATCCCCAGAAAAGCCTGGCAAACAGGAACAGGTGTAGGAGGACCCTCCTGTGTAGATACACCGGGCCCGCTGGGGTATGTCGCAGTTATGCAGGCCAGTTGCACAGTAGTTGATGGGGCGCTGGTCCACGACAGCTTCAGAACAAAAGGTTGATGCACAGTCTTAGGAAGAAAGTCATCTGAGCAGGACACATGCCCCTCCCAGCTCTATAAAGAGGGACCATGCCTGGACCCTAGACCCCTAGGCACATCCACAGCTTCATCCCCACCCCACTCCTCACTGGGCTGGTACCACTGCCTTCACTGTTTCCTCCCACCTGGGTTCTGCCTCTGATGGGTCTTGACTGACTAACACCATGGTTGGTCATTCCGCCTGGCTTGACCTCAGTTTCACTCTGTGGGTCTGTCTCAGGCCACTCTCCAAACCAGATCCCCATCACGGGTCCCCAGGACCCAACTTTCCCTTCATCTGGATATGGGGGTGGGACATCTGCTGATTCCACGCTTCTGATGGCAACTCTGTCGAGACCGCTTGGAGGGAAGGAGCTGAGACTTTCACGTGGTGTCTTCAGCCTTGGCCCACCCTGGACAGGTGGAACATTCACTACAAATGCCCAAGTCAGTCACCCACTTGCCACCAAGGAAGGACAAATAAATGTTTCCAAGCCAAGGAGATGGGTATGGTTATGGTTAGAAGACTATGAGCCTTTGGAGTAGGCAGCCTTGGTATATATCAGGTACCACGGGTCAACCACA